ATTTTTTATATTTATGGCACACATATTTCTTATAATTTTAATGCTGTGGCCTAAGCAACCAACATGTCACAATATAGTACACCGTATAGCAACGGAATGGTATAATTCTAGGTAATAGTAGCATCCGAACATGCACGTTTTGGAAGCAGCCACCTACTAGGTACGCCAGAAGTCATAAATACGAATTCAAGGCTGAGATCAAGGACTACGTACAACAACCACTTTAACCGACTATGTACAGATAATGTTGTTGTTGTTGCAACGGCTACTCAGCCCTGCCTACATCGGCTTGTCCCTCAATCTTTGGGTACAGCGGGATAGGGGCATTAGTTGAGTGCGGTTAAAGGGGGCATGCGAAGAGGTGTTAAGAGTAGTGAGGTGACTCTCTGCATGCCGGGCACATCTGCATTTATCCTACTCAGGTAGGAATTTAGCCTGCAGCAGTATCCAGAGCGAAGTTTGGCTACTGTGAGTCTCCCGAGGCAGATGAAGTGAACTCATATGCTCCTAGTATTGTATTCCTGCTCATCATTAAAGCTGGATATCTGGAAAGAAGGTTCTCCGTTCCGGCAGCTTTTACAGAAGTCGTTTTATGATAAAATCGACGATTTAAAATTTTGTACTTCGCAAAGAAACAATCAAAAAAATCTATAGCTTAGATTCAATTTAAAAATACAAATAAAATATAGTTTTAATAAATAATAAAAAGCACTCGTATCCTTCTTCATTCAAAGGATCAAAAATATAATAATTTTTTTTTGCAGCAATCGCAAAAGTTAAAGCATTCATGGAGTATTAAGGGTAGCGGACATGCCAACTTTTCAATCAAACTTTGTATTCAAATCTTTATAAGTTCTATTATTTAGCACAAGAAGAAAACGGGTTTAGGTATAATAAAACAACTTACTGAATTTGATCCAAATGAAGAAGGATAGAGAGCACAATTTTGTGATAGCATTTATTTTACACACTCAGGAGAGTGAAGAAGGCATACTCACCTAAATGGGGAATTTGAAGCGGCACGCTACAAGGTTCATAATAAAACACGCGTAAATTTAGTTCTGGTTTTAGGACTTTATTTATTTGTATCTTTTTGTTTACAACAAAATTACAACATATTATTTTAAATACATCAAACTAAACGCGCATACTACAAAACAGATATGCAAATATGAACGGAAAATATTTGAAGATTACATTAAGTCAATAGATCAAAAGAGGTTATTTGAATTATTTTAACAACTTCTATTACGATAATAGTTCGTTGTTGCACAACAGCGGTTACACTATAATTTTTAATATTTTGTTCTATAGCCATTGGTAAATAGGAGTTTGTGAGTATGTATGTAATAGTTTCTTATTAGGATTTTCTTTTTGTTTTTAATATTGCTTAGTTAAATTGAAATTACTAAGTATAGTAGGTGTGTGTGTGTAAGTTGATGTTGATATACTATAATTAATTCCAGTTTTCTCTATCCTTCTCCGATTGGTCTCAAACAGCTTGACACGCCTCTTATTTCCTACGAGTGCATGCATTGGGACTTGGTGATTTCCTCCGATAACGAGAAGTGCAAGGCGCACTCGATATATATATATATACATTTAGGCGCAAAGGCAAAAGGTAGAGGGTTAGTCTTTTTGTAACTACAGAATATGGATGTTTTGTTGGGACGCATCGCAAGGATGGGATTGACGATGATGTCCGAAATGCAACGGTTTTGTACGTTAAGACTTTTTGTACGTATATAAACTACTGTATTTTGCACGAAAAAACCTACTTCTTAGAAACGCGAAATTTAAATCTTAAATAATTGTACATTTTTTTACGAAAAAAATCAATTGAGGACTTAAACGAGAAGAAACAAAATTTGCGAAAAACTAATAGAAAGATGCGCGAAAAAATATACATAAAAAAAAAACCAAAAATAATGTAAAAATGTAATTGTCGAGTTAAAAAAAATAATAAAAATAAAATGATTACAACTAAAAATAATACCGAAAATGGAAAATATACACAAATTTAATTGTACAAATAAATTAGAGCTGTTCTTGTCGAACGCTAAACATTTGCAACGTAAACTTATCATTTTTACTAGCATTTTGCACAAACATTGTGTAGAATCGAAAATGGTTAAGCACTTTTTTCTTAATGAAAGTCAACGACTTTTTTCTTATGTATTTTATCGACTATTTATATTAATTGCTGCAGCAACTCTAAGCAAAACAGATAGAAATATTTCTCGATTTCAGTGCCTCTAAACACGTTCAAAATTATCTTCACGTTGAAATAACTTTCGACCCTCATCCAAAATATTATTTGAGACTATACGTAAATACATGACGTAATCATCGGTCCAAGTGCGAAAATCATTTAAGCGATTATAAGTTTGTTCTTTAAGAGCAACATATTTATCTTCATTGAAATATTCGGATACATCTGGGAGTGTGGGTAATGTGAAGGTCATTTCGGAGAAATGACGTGGCGGAAAGGGTTCTTTAGGATGTAGATAATAGTAAAGGCCTGTGAAAGCGCCATTGCATTTTAAAAATGTATACATATTTTTTTATTGGAGAAAGAAAAGGGTGCAAAAGAAACGAAGGAAGATATTAGTATCAAAAAAGTTTAAATTAAATAGGAAGATAGTTATAATATGTCAATGAATTGCGTGTCTTATATAAAAATAAATTCTTCATTTATGGAAACTAAACATACTTAATAACAAAAAATATTTAAAGGCGATTGAAGTAAAACCAATTGTTAAATAATGGAAAGCTTGGAAACATGTGGAAGTTACAAAAGCTCTATGAAAGTTTAACTAAAAAAAGTTGCACAGTTAAAGGCCCTACACTGAATCTCAGTAAAATTATAGAGTAAGTGCAGCTATCCTATATATCAGACTCCTGGCATCAAGCTTTATCCATTCATACCAAAATATCAATAGTTAGATTTAAAAGGCAGAGATAATAAAGATAAACCACTTTAAAATAAGTCAGGTTTTACTCTCTCCTGTAAAATTTGGTCAACCACACAAACAAGGTTATTTTGATTGGCGGCTTTGTACTTCCCCTGCAGAAAATCTGACTAGCTCAGGACTGGCGTAGAACTAGACCTTTTGCCGACAGTACTAGTTCTAGCTTAATACCCAAGCAATGCATTCAACTGTACAGTTTTACACGTATTATTTTCCTTTTTTCATTAAAAATTGTTCATTTCTAAATTTAACGAACTTTTTGTTCAAAATAATAATAGATTGGCGCTGCTCCTATCCGAGCTTCAAAATATCGTCAATAAAACTGCAATCATGTGCCACAATCATACGTTTATCGTGATTGCAAATTCTTGCTGGCTAAAATTTTTCCAGCAAGAATTTGCAACTTCTCTCCAAGAGAACTGTCACTTTGCGCTCTCAGTTTTTGAGTGATGGATAATTTTTTGGTCTGCACGAACGCGATTTGGACAAGAATCATGATAGTTCGTACAAATTCGTACAAATTTTTTGCTCGACGAACAGAACTATGATGCCTGCCAAAGCAAAAGACCCCTTTGGCCAAATTTGAAATTTTACAAATGAAACCCGTTTTAAATTTAGGAAGTATGTATTTACATAGTGGATTTTAAGACGTTGTTTAAATCTTGTTTTTTACTGTAAAACAGGGATCACACGATTTGAACATTTGTACCTTTGGCAGTCACAGAGTGGTGTTGTCTAAAAATTTTTATCGAGAATCAGTTCAGCTCAATAACAACTTTCGACACAACACCTCTTTGTAACTGTGAAAATGTACAAATCTGTACAAATGTGCAAATCTGTACAAATATACAAATCTGTACAAATGTACAAATCGTGTGATCACTGCTTAACGCTTTGAATTTTGGCATGTGGGTTTACATATCGATGGCTGAGTGGAAGATCGACCTATCTCGGCAGCCAGTTCGAAAACATTCTATCTGAAACAACTTTTCAAGAACGCTCTATTTCTGAATTCGTTTCAAAAACGCCCTATCTCAGCTGCCGATTCAAAAACGCCCTATATCAGAATATTTTCAATACATTTTGAAGTGAGATAGGGCGTTTTTGAACCGAATTTTGAGATAGTGTTTTTAAATTAAATTCTGAAATAGGGCGTTCTTGAAAAGTTTTTTGAGATAGAATGTTTTCGAACTGGCTGCCGAGATAGGTCGATCTTCCACTCAGCCATCGATATATGAGAGCCTGTTAACAAAATATTTAAAAACCCGAATTTCCGAAAAATTCTCAAAAAAAAACCTTCAGCATTGATGATGGCGATATAAATAAATACGCATATATAATGAATACCAAAAAGTTCTACAACCTATTGAAAATTTTTTGAATTCAATAAAAAAGGCCTCTAATCATAGTTTATACTTTGCAAAAACTACAAATAGAACAAATTAAGAATTAATATTGAGTAAATATCTCAGTAGCTATATACATATGTATATACGTAATATATTCAAATTTATGCGCTTTAAATAAAAGCAGCATTTCAACGAGCAAATAAGTACATTCACATCGTACTCTCTACGTTTGCCTGTGTTCATGAATTTTTCCACACGTGACGCGCGCACCTACAAGGTGAATATAGACAACGACATGGCGAACCACAAAAATCTAAATGTTTATATACACATGGATAGATGTTTACAACACACCAAGTATATCTACACCAATAAAAAAAAATAGCAAGAATTAAACACTTAGCCTAGCAGCATCAACAGTTCAATAACAATTTTCAAATTCACTGTCACTAGCGGCTTATTGACAAACGCTCACAACGCTTCAGGGTCAACTAGTCTGACAATTTATTACATTTTCGATAAGTATTCAATGTCAGGGGCTGAGACTACGCGTGTCATGCCTCGCTTTATCCATACACTAATTCATTCCCGCCTACATAAATGTTTTTTTGTTTTTTTTTTTTGTTTTCACGCAGTCCATTGACATATTACAACATTCATATAACGTTTTAATACTCACCACCCAACAACAACAATGGCAACAAGATTAACAAAAGCAACAGAAAACGTTTTTTCCCTCTGCCATCGGCGTTCGATGATTGTAGTAGCCAAGTATCCAAACACAATACAGATGAAATTATTAGATATATATAACGAAATAACCGAGATATGGATGATGATATGGCGTGTGTAATAGAGCCGAAAAAACCTATAGTGAGATAAGAAATTGTAAAAATTTCAAACATACTCGTACATAAAATATGCATATCTTACACCCTCTTCAAAAGAGGCACAACTCCAAAACAATTTTGGTCGATTTGTTTGCATAAATAGCTAAATTCTCTAACTAAGAAACTACTGTTATATCTGTTTTGTATTAATTGCGTTGAAACTGTGCGATCCACAAGCAGTTATTTATGTATATTTGAGGATCTGATTTTTGAGTTATGCCTCTTTGAAGAGGGTGTGCAATATGTTGTATATTTTTATTTAGTAGTTGTCTTCTTTTAATGGCAAAAGCATTCAACTTGCGCTCTAATGGCACTCACCTCGCTCCACCTGTCCATACTTAGTTCTATACAAAGCGGAATTGTCATAGCCTAAAGCACCGCTTCTTTCGCCGCTACCAGCACCAGTTAAAGATGTCCACGCGCTGGTGATTGTGGTTACGATAGTCGTAATCATCCGCACATACCATGATTCTTGCTGCTCCTGCAAATACCTCTGATATTGCCGTTTGCGGTAGCTATCCAGTTGATCAACTTCATCGCCCGATTCATATGTTAGTTTCTCAGCGGCTCTACGGTTTTGCGTATACCGCGACGATTCATATCGCCGGCGGATGAATTCCTCTTGCGCGGGATCACGTTCGATCATATAGTTGATACGTTCGTTATGATTTTTTAAACCGTTGCGCGACATGTTCGGCATGGCCACAATGCCGGGGGCTAATTCGCGGCGAAATGACGAGTGCTCGGAGTATGTGTAATCTGTTTTTGGTGTAGTGCTGCAATAAATATAGAAATTAAATTGTAAAAATTGCAATTTGAATTGTAAAATATGACATGCACAAATGATACTCACTTCCAATACTCGCCAGCCCGCTTATATTCTAAGTAGGCAATGTGATCGCTGAGATCGCCATTGCTGTTGCTCAATATCTGGCTGTATGATTTATTGATGCTACTATTATTGCTGCAAATCCCCGCTGCAGCTGCCGATCGCTGTGAGCGCTCAAATTCTGTATTCAATGCATTTTGTGTAATTTCTTTGTAGCGCTGCGCTGCAGATTCGGCTCCAGTCCCGCCTGTGAACTGTGAGGCGAAACTTTCTAGCAAGTATTTTTGTATCGCCTTTGGAGTTGATGTGGCAGCGACACTAATGTTGCCTGCAGTACGTTTCCCCTTGGTAATCACCGTCGTGCTGGTTGTGGTGGTGGTGGTCCTATTTGTTGAGGACGACGACATTTGCTTAGATTTCTGTGATGACTCTTCACTCATGGTGGTTGTGGTCTTTTTTGATTTACTCTCCGGACTGGTGTCCTCGCTGGAGTAATCAGATGTTTTTGTTTTTTGTGTTTGTTTTGTTGGTGAAATAGACGATGTCACTTCAACAGTTTCCTCCACAATTGTTCTGGCGGTGAGGGAAAAATTTACTTGCATTAATTATTTGTATTGAAAGATAAACTACTCTAATACGAATGAGTGTGAAGTATTTTAGATAAAAACTTAAATAACAAAAAGTAAGGTACTAATTTAATTTGATACCCGTACTGTTATTCTATTTTTTATTAATCCTTAAAATTTCAAAGTCCTTTAAAAAAAAAAATCTGACGTCAAAGGGAAAAACTAAAAACGCAGTTTTATTATTTTTGGCCCACGGTTCGCGAATATTTTTTTCTTGTGTGTAAAATTGGCTGTCGCACAGTGTTATGTATATGAGGTTGGTCCGCGTTAAATTGCCAAACTAGTCGTAGAATGCCCAACATAATTTATGGGCAATGGAAAAGTTCTAATTAATTGAAATGCGCATAAAAAATATGCTCAAAAGTAACTTCAAAACAAAAGCGAGCATGTACGTAAGTATAAACAATCGTTTTTACATTTTAGCTTAACCTTCAACCAGGTCAATAAAAAGAACACAACACAAAAACAAACACGGAACATTTTCGGTGTGCTTAGTTATTAGCGCTTAATTTTTATGGCCAAATAAATAATAAGGCTGAATACAAAAACAACAAAAAATACGGTTTGTCGTCATCGTTTAAAATGAAAACGAGAATAAATAGTCATTCACACAAAACCACTCCGTCAAAAAGTTTGCAAACACGCCGAATGTAGTGGCCAACGAGTTTCGGTGGAGAAATTGAAAGCAAAAAAAGTAAAAATGCGCGTCTGGGTATATACGTATCTATGTATAGAAATATACATTTGTATGCTTAGTTGTATATGAACCTCACCCTGCTGACGTGCCTGCCGCCCAGCTTTGAGTCAGGGTAGCGATGACGAGTTGAATTCGAAATCAACTGGCAACTGGTAATATATGAATCGCGTGTTTTTATGCACTTAACTTTGTTTTCTTTTGTTTCAAATTCTTTGTTACTTAATGCACAAACAACCAAGTGGGTTAAAAAGCGCGGGAAAACTGCGAGCACATTGAATTCAAGCTTACACGGCGTGTGATCAATAACAAACTGACGAAAAATGCGAATAGCGAATGTAGTTGACGCGAAGAAACGCCACAAAATTAGACGAGGGAAAACAATTCACATAAACGTTCAATCAGCACAACGCTCGGCCACAATCTGAACGCCACATTTCGAGACCCATTGTGATGGAGCGTTACAAAAAAGCAGCGCTGTTAGTAGCAGCTGCTTCAGCTAGCTGTTAGCTGCTAGCTTTTAAATGAGAGCTGCCATATGCTGATGATTGCGCTCACATTAGTGCTACACCCGCCCACCGCGCCATCACCCGCCCAACGATTGGGTGCCATAGCTGACTAAATAGCTGCGCGATGACGACATGCACGACCACAACAGCACGGATGACGACGACACTAAAACGCTTATATTTTGCCTTTCCGAGTCGTTTGTTTGTATTTGGGTTTTTATTTATTTTTAGCGTTTTAGGTTCATTATCTTGCCGTTGGTAAATTTGCTGTTGGACTTGTTTTATGTTTGGTTGTTGGAAAACAACAGACAAAAAATAACAAAATACATAAAACAAAACCAAAAAAGCAACTATTTAGCATAAAGTAAGCATCCATAAATGCTCGTATGTAAAAAACGGTATTTAACCACTTTAGATAATCAAATAGAAATAGACACCGTGATTGGCAGTTTTTTTTTTAAATTTTTCAAATCGAACTATTATACGATACTTACTGCACGTTGGGCGCTTTCTTCTTTTGATGATGATGATGTGTATGACCCTCTTCGCCGGCATGTTCGCAATTTTCGTGATCGCAGCTAGAACGTAGGAAGGGTGTTTTCGAGCGCGAACGTCGACGCGTCTCTATTTGATAATCGCTCATTATGCTGGTTGCGTATGCACTTTGAAAGCAGGTCAATCAACTGTAATCGATTAAAGTGAAAAAATGTTAATCAATATAAGCCGTGAAAGAAAGTGTAAGTGGGGATGTAATACAAGTGCTGAAAGAAGCATATAGAGTAATTAGAAAAATAGCAAAGATATTAAAATGGAAAATGGTTGAACAAAAGTTGCAATTCGTTAAGGTGTTATTATATTTTTGGTAGTTTTTTTACTGTCCACTAGAATTTGATGGGAGACCTCCGTATGTGAGGAATAAAAGAGTACACACTTTGGCCCGATTTCGGAGTAATAAGCGACATTTGTCGGTTTACTCCTTTATTACTAGCTTAGGAACCATAAGGAAAATCTCCTAAGAGAGAAATAAAAGCATCCTCCCTGAGGCAATAAGCGACATTTGTCGGATTTGTACTCCGTTATTTCTCGCTTAGAAGCAAAAAGCGATCTCTCCGAAGCGGGTAATCCAAGAGCATTCCTTTTGGAAGATTTATAAATGTTGTTAGATGGTAGATTGATAGGATCGCTTATGTTTGTTGCGATTGTGACTAGCCCAGACATTTCATCTGCAGTGGGAGAAGTCAGCCGATTGATGGATAGTCCAAAGCCACTGCATGTTTCCGCTGCCAAGGGTATTCTACGATACTTGAACGGGACGATCGAGAGAGCAATGGAATATTCCGGATCCCCCCCCAGGACCCCAGGACCCACGGTACTGATTTCAAATTGAATTGGTTACCGGTTTCGAACCTCACCCTCGAATTTTTAATCGAACAATCTCAGCAAAATAAAACAAAAATCTTGATTTCTGAGGCCAGATGTTGCGAAATATTCTGAAACTTGATACAGAAAACTACAAACAGAGCCATAAAACTGCACAATCTGGAAAATTTTCGATAACGAATACTAACTTCCAAAACGGTTTGGTTTCGTGATTTTTTCGAGCTCAAAAACTATCCAAGATATTTTATTGGCTGATAATGAATTTTTTTTAAGTCAGGCATGTGCTTTTAATATAGTGTGATGTTCAAAACGTTCTATGTCACTTATTACCTCTGCTGCTTAAATGATCTGTTATCTGTATCTGATCGCTTCTGGCAATCGTTCATCTTCATCAGCCAAGGGTAGACAGTTTTGTCATTCGTTTATTATGGTGTAACGATTCGCAGATGCATTCCAGTGCAAGTAAGAGACCATCTAAGTGTCAAGGGTACTAATAGACATAGACCGTTTTGCAGTATCACCGACGATATGTGCCTGTACACACACGCATATTTTGTAAGATATGCACCTCATAGACATTTATGGTAAGTAAACAAAAATCTCTCCAGTATAAACAATTTTGGAGGCCAACGCCGCTGCTGTAGCTGAACATCATAGCTAGAAAGCACGTAGACTAGCAGCAGACAACATTTAAATTTGGTCAAAAGTTTTCATAACCTGACAGAGATTTTGACTTCATATATATATGTGTATATATACACAGGAACACCATTACACACCTCTATCCATATGTATGTATGTATATTCACATGAGAATTACTTATCAGAGATTTTTTAAAGGGTGTGGGTTGTTTACAATTGATTCAGCGGTGGTATTGTAAAAATAAGCAATGAGTAAATTAAGTGAAGCAAGTACTTGGCATGTATGTACATACAAAACCGCGTATCGTCATTCTGCAAAACCGCGTAACTGACATTTGCTGCCAAAAGTTGGATTTGTTCACACAAGCGCTTGGCTCAATCCTTATCCATTCGCCCTGAATTTATGCCACCTCACATACGCGGTTTTGTACTTTAAACGACGATATGTATGTACATATATAGTACATACTTGACTCGAAACAGAAGTTTGCATAGATGTTTGCTTGTCTGCATGGATGTAGTACATGCCTCATGGCATGGCTTCTTCTGACCACATGGCACTAATGAATGAAAGTGAATATTACAACATTTATGTGTGTTCAACTCCCTCCCTTTGTTTGTTTTTGTGGTTTCTTTTATACTAAGTATGCTATGCGCAAACGCAGACATTAGTGGCGAGTAAAAATTAAGCAAGAAAGACGAATAAATAAGAACGAGAAAAAATGAGGATCTATGGTCGACTGATTAATGTTGTAACAATTTAATAAATGAAAAATGCATATACTTAGGTTTGAGAGCAAATGTTGTACGGTAATGATGAGATGATCACGAGTGGATTGGAAAACACGCAAGAGCAGCGTTTTCTTCAGCTATGCCGGAGGCTTCATACCTTTCATGAACATCTGAAAATTTTACTTTAATAGATTACTGCATTTGAAAAAATGTATATATTCACAGCAAACATATGTAGATAGAGGAGTTACATACATATATAAAAAATCGTATCTAAACAATCAGAGGTAGGGAAGAAATACCTTATATAGCACCAATCTAAATGATTTTCACTGCTGTGTGATTGGTATGTAAACCGGTAACACAATTTAATGGGTTTAGCTTCCTACATAAAGGGGATATATCGCAAAAACTTGTATTTGAACAATCAGTGGAATAGGAGATAATGCTTATACTTACAGCATAGATTTTGATGATTTTCTCAGTTTATTTTGTATTATTATTTATAAAATAGCTTACGAAATTTATCGGTTTTAGCTGTCCAAATAAAGGAGTTTTACAGTAAAACCCCATACCTCAACAATCAGTTGTATGGAGGCAATAAGTAGGTTGTGGTGACCCGATCTTTGTTCATTTTACTGTAAACTTTCTGTTGATAATGGGTGCAAGTATTGCAAAATTTCATGTTCCTAGCTACATAATTGGAGGAGTTGTAACGAAAGATCTCATATCTGAACAATCAGTTGTATGGGAGCTATATGTTATAGCGGTCCGATTCTGTCGGTTCCGACAAATGAATTAAACATTATAAAAATGCACCCACCTACCAAAATTCAACCGGATATCAGGAAAACTGAGAGACTAGAATGCATACAAACAGACGGTCAGACGGACAGACGGACATGGCTTAATCCACTCAGCTCGACGTTCTGATCATTTAAGTATAAATTTTAATGGGTCTATCTCTTCTTATTCTGGTACTTACAAACATCGGACCAAAGTTATAATATAAATATAAATGTTGAAGTATGACCTGTGAGAAAAAATATATATGAATTATGGCGATTTCCTCAAAATTGAATTAATAGAAAACGCAAATCACGAAAAATAATTCATACAAATTTTTGGCGGGTTTGATGTTTTTGATAGTATAGCACGACTAAGTCGGGTTTCCAGCTACTACCAACAAACACCCCCAAAATCTTGACTTACAGTTTCAAAAGCGATTTTACGCACCTTTGCGCACTTAACAGCACGAATAGCCTCACGAGGCTACTAAAGCTAGCTAGCTAAAAAGGAGTACTAAAAATATCCAAGCGCCAAGATAGATTATACCGTTAAATTTCTGAAAGTGTGAAGAACAAAAATCGTCCTGGAAGACCAGTGCAGAATATCTGCATTTGGTAACAACTTCCAAGCGGAATAGACACCTCACAGTGGCAGAAATTGCTGCAGACATCAATAGCACACAAAGTAAACCGATAGGTGTTTCAACTGTTAAAAGACGACTCTCTCAGGGTGGACTTCATGGATGTGTATCAGTCAAGAAACCTCTCCTTAGAATAGCTAATAAAAAGTAAAGATTGGAATGGGCTAAATCGAATGGAGTGATGAGTCTAATGGCCGATTTCCACCAAGAGCTTAACTGCAGTTAAGAGCTCAGTTAAGTGCAAGTAACGTTAACATGGGGTGATGGCATAGTCAAAATTGAAGGAAGTTTAAGAAAAGAGGGATATTTTAACTTTCTCAAGGATAACGGTTTGCCTTGTGGAACATGCCTTATTAATAAAGGGTTAATTTTTCAGCAACACAGTGACGCGAAATAATCAGCCAAAATATGCAAGGACACCTTAAATATTTTGTGAAGAGGAGGGTAATCTCAAAGTCATGTTGTGGCCGCCGCCGTCCCCTAATCTCAATCCTATCAAGCTCCTGGTGGAACAATTCGATCGAGTACGTACATTTTTTCCGAGGCCTACTATACATATTTCGAACATATTCTGCCTTATCCTGAGTTTCGCCTGAAAAAAGTTCACCGGTAAATTTGTCATCCGCCCATAGTAAAACCATGGAAACCAAGAGTGAAAAGTGAACCGGTTCGGAAAAAATGAAACTCATGATAAGGCTGATTATTTAATTTTGGTTATTTTTTACAAAATTTAAGTTTAATATTTAACAAAACCCATGTACATCCAAGCTTCAAACTTTGGGCTATATTTAAAAAAAAATCGACAAACACATCTTTCATAACACATCTTTCTAGCCAAAAATCTATTTTCATGAATTTTGTTTCAGCAATATGACATTAATTCAGCCATAGTCGCCATGCACTTGTGTTTATACACACAAACATACATACGTAAATATGTACATATCGTCACCTGAAATGCAGAGAGACGTAACAAACATCATCGTTGAAATGCAAAAAGTCATAACTAATGAAAAATTTAAAATTAACTTTTTGAGTTATATGATGAATGAACAATTTAGACTAATTTACAACTTACGCAAAGAGGCTGATTAGTCACGACTTTTTCCATTTCATTTACGATGTTGTTAAGTCTTTTTGCATTTCAGATGACGATATGTATGTATGTATGTACCTCATTACCCTACCTAATTTATTAATTAGGAAATGACTACTACAACATAACGGAACACTTATTAATTATAAACTATTTCCCCCTCTAGAAATTTACTAAATGGAATAATGCATCAACGCCATTTCCACAAGTGGCTACCAGCAGCTTTTTCTCTTCAGTTTTGCTTTAAATTTCATACTTTTTATTCCAATTCCTTCACAGAAATGTGTGTGAATGACAGACCTGCTAACGGCTGCGAAGTTTGTGGAAAGTATAAAGTCAAAACAGCAAATGCTATTGAATAATTGCAAATTAACAATGGCAGCCAGCAAGTAGAGAAAAAGCAAAACAGAAAAGCATACACATGTGGCACAATTTGCCGGGAGCGAAAAGCGATAAGGCAACCGGCAAAAATGCTAGCCACAAGGTCTTGAACGAAGTGCACTTCAGTTTGGAATAAATAAAGTTAAAATTAAGCGTGGTGTAGTGCAAAAAAAAACCTAGCGTGTAATGAATCACACGACATTCTACTGTATAAAGAATGAGACAAGGAAATCGTAATAACGACTTGTGTATGGGAAGCTTAAAACACATTGAAAAGAAAAAATACTTGGGGCAATAAATATTTTAAACAATGTACAGACCAATATCGATACGAGTCTGATTATCATTGGGGTAATTATTTTGTAAATTCACTTTAGAAACTTGAATAAATTAGTCTACTCGATATCCTGATAATTCTTGACAATCATCAAATATTATCAGGATTTGGGGTGCGCGTACGCGAAAAATTCCCAGAGAGGAAATTTTGAGAGCAAAGTGACAGTTCAGTGAAGGGGAAGTTACAAATTCTTATAGCGTTTTCTTTTCTCGAAATAATGTTGCATTTATTCTGCCCTGCGCCAGGGCTGTCAAGTTTCCGTGTTTTTTCTCAGCATCTTCGCATGCATATTGCGTGCTCTTTCTTTAAAATGTTGCACTCGGATAATGTTGCCATATAAGAAGGTGACATCTTTTTTTCGAGAAAAGAAAACGCCTTAGTAGCAGCAATTTGCCAGCAAGAAAAACAGCTGATCAAAGTCAACTTATTATAACTTCAAATGTTTGCGAAGAAAGCAAATATGTACTAATTTTCTAACGATGCACTATGGTCAATAACAGTGGCTTCCAACCTATTCCAACTGGCGAACAACATTAAAATTGTTTGGTTCACAAGTATGAAAAGGTATTGAAAATATCTAAGCTTTCAATTGATTTAATTTTTTTTTTTTTTTTGCTAATAAAATAAGAAGGACGAAATTCGAGGATGTGGTCATGTGTATAGATACTGATACTTAACATACACATTTGTCTAAAATAAATATTAAACATTTTTAATGATATCCAAAGAAAAAATTTTAAAAGGACATTTTTCATACCCTAACGTCCTTATGCACCAAAAAATGTTATCTTTAGTTCAATCTATGCAATTATCTCTTTTATTTGATGCCCATTGTTATTCTAAATGCACTGAATTTTTTAAATGCTTTTTTTTTAATAAATCATATCTTTGAAATTTCTAAGACCTTTTAAAATCCCGACATCAGAGGGAGTTTTACTACATGTTGCCCATAGTTTCACGAATATAATACGTTTTTTTTCGTTTTTGTGTGCTATAACTCCAAATGTTTGGGAAGAAATCAAATAAGTGCTAATTTTCCAACGTTTGCACTATGGTCTAAATCAGAGCTGCTCAACAAATTTAAGTTACTGAGCCAAACGACAACAACGTCAATATCAATAGCAACATCGTTCTGGGAATTGCAAAAAGTGTTTCAACCCCAAACAAATCAATGATGCAAGCATTCCTCACTTTTTCTCGTTGCTATATTTTAGATAATACAGTAAAACATAAGAAAGATATCATTGGTTTTTGTAAAAATCCATTATGTGCCAGATGTGTGATAACAAAATATTGCAATGGTTTTGGTGATAAAATCTCATTTGAGGTATTCGTCCCTGCCTAGTTATCAGTTTATCTGGTTGCGGTTTAATTTTTACTCAGTTTATAAAAACAAAATACATACACTAGAGAATAATAATTTTTAACCAGACCACCTGATAACCAGATTATTGGATTTTTCTTAACTTTACTGGGAAATTTTAGCTAGGTTCTTGGGATCTTATGTCACCATATTTTGTGTTGCCATTTTTTTCGATTTCTGAGCAAACGGCTTTTTTCGTTCGTTAGATTGTTACTGTCAGTAGTGAACCATTTATACCCTTTGGAGTGGAGAACTTAATAAAAAGTTTTGTTGCTGCAAAGGTTGCTCCTTTAACCTTTTAGTGGACAAATTAGGAAATTCAAACTTTCAGGCTTTTAAATACAGATTCGTATAATTTGCAAAAATTGCCTAGTATT